AGTCGCATGTTACACATCCACCCTCCGTCAACCCAAACATTAATAAGTTGTTTATTACCAATAGAGGCAGTGTATCTACATTCATAAATTAGCTATTTTTGTTTTTTATTTTTGTTTTTTCGTATTTATTGTAGAAGTTAAAATCTATTTTAGGTAAATCCATGGTAATATGATACTGCGACTGTGCTATTAATAAAAATATGTTTACAACTTACGTCTTACATTATAAATTCTACCATTGATTATAAATATTATAGATTGCTCACTGGTCGGTTTTTAGTGGTATGAAAAAAAAAATTCCGATAGAGGGTGATTCCAAACTAATAATAATAAATAATAATACGTAATATATAATATAATTAATAATAATAATATAATAATAAAATAATAAATAATAATACGTTGTGTCGTGAGGATAGTAAAGACGGGTATGGGGTAATCTTATCTTATCTTGTAACTCATCGACGTTGTCGATCGGTATATTATGCGGGTACCGTGTACAAAAAATTGTACTACTCGAAAAGTTCTTTTTACTTGTGAGAAACCTATCGATTGTACAGAATATTTTTATACATAAATCGATTCCGCCGAAAATATATAATATCGCTGTATACCAGTGGCGTATATAAGATGGGTACCTAATGGCCTTCCCCCCTTCACCGAAATGTTTCAAAACACTTAAATATTATTTTAAACGTTTGTTATATTTTAATAGTGCTTTATGCTTATTTAAAAATAATTTTTAAAAAAAAAAATTCAAATACCTATAGATACCATAAAAATTATCGAAACCCTTTGAAATGTACATCATATTAATAAAATGTTCATATAAGTGTTTTATACACATTTTAAGAACACCAATTATTATTTTTGAGTTACGATGAATCAACTAACATAATTTAATCGTAATCACGTAAACATCGAATTTCCTAAAAATATAAAATTCTAATGCTAGTAAAATTAATTTAGAAAAATACACTTCATGGTAAAACTAATAGCTTCCTCGTTTTACTCAGAATCTAAAATGTATATTTTTTTTAATGTTACCTGTAACGTTTGCCGTTGAATGACTACGTTTCTTCGTAGTCGGCGTAGTGTTAAGCGTATTGCAGACATTTATGTATGCATCTAATATAAATACAAATATTAAATAATAATTAGTTTTGTTAATGACATTGGTACTGTATTTTTTAATTTTTTATACCTTTTTAAAGTTTTCGTTTTCAAAATTCTTAATTTCATTGCTGAAAATTAATTTAATTTGTTTACTGGAATCTATATATAAGAAAAAAAATGTTATAAATAAAGACATGGATATTTAAAATTTAAATTTAATCATTTTTAATTAATTACTTATGAAATATTTCTTAGGAACTGCATTTCGAGTGAGACGTGGTTTTTCACTTGCCATATATGAACATAATATATATATAATATACATATTTTTTTCGAAATGGTCAGAACAAATATATCTTTTCCTTAGACGCTTTGGGCTGATGCTTTCTAGGTTTATGTTTCCTATTATTATACAGAAATAATTATTAGTATTTTGTATTTGCATGACATACTATGAATATAATATTAAAAGTTGTGTACAATTATATTACCAGAATTAATTATCCATTCTTTGTGTGATTCTATATCTGCTGGAAATCGATGGAAAGTATTGTGTGATGTAAAATTACAATTAAAATAAACACACTTGTCCCCTGACATTTTGTATTTATTTAAACAGTAAAAAAAAAAAAATAATAATAATAAAAAATATAATAAGGCACGATAAAACTCAAAATCACATCCAACAGTAAACACGGTTTAAATGATGAACTTGTACTAACATATACTGCACACTACTGTGGTACCAATACTTTTTATATATATTTTTATATGACGAACAAAATTACAAATAGACAGTGAATACAAGATATACGCAAAATAAATTAGGTATTTCCCTAGTTATCTCGTTTAACTAATTATACATGTATTATGTATTATCTGAATCGAAGGGCCTGGTGCTAGAATCGGATATCTCCATTTTTTAAAATTTTTCAAGACAAACAGATAACCAAATTGTTTGATTTATATTGGAAGTATAAATATTGTAAAAACATATTTGAATTCTCCTAATGAAGAGCTAAATGTTTACATACTGTATAACATTAATTTACATTAATGTTTACATTACTATTTACTACTATACATATTTAAATTTTAGACTATTTTAAGTACATAATTTATTAATTCGTAAAAATAAAAGAAACATGGAGATACGTCGGAGTTTTTTTAAATTGATTTTTCGTTATTTTTTTTAGCTATCTTCTGAAAACAGGACATTTCGATGTCCTTAAAATTCCCCAGGGTAGGGCCGGCGTTAGTGGGAGGCAAAACGGGGCATTTTCTGAGGCCTCGCGCCTTCAAGGGCTTTACGCTTAAAATTTTAATTGAAAAATATTTTGTATGAAAATCTCTAAAATAAAAAGTGAAACGTGTGGATCACCTGGCGAGTGTGATTTCTTGAGAAATCCATTGGCATATAAAAAAACAAATTAATAAAACAATATTATGTTATATATAATATTTCATGAATGCACCAACGAGGACCCGTATGGCACGCCGCACGGTATGAAAAACGGGATACCTAGTAAGCTTATCTAATCGCATTTCTTAAATTTAATTAGTTATTACTCGTTATAGCGTGCAGCTGCCACCGAGTCTGATAAGACCACCGTCGGCTAGTTGTGACTACTAGCGATTACGACGGCTGTCGCCACAACTAGATACTGCGCGGAGCGCCTCGTAACGTCAGCCACCATTTAATACGCTGCGTATTTATTGCAGTGAGTAATCTATAGTATATATATCAATGATTCTACTAATTATTCTATATTTGTGAATTATAGTTATTATTACTATTTTTTTATATATTATTAAAATATACTAATTGTATTGTCATATTACACTCAATAATCAATACTTAATCAATATTTTATAAACTACAAGACAACACGAGAGAGCACAATACTGGTTTTGAAAAATAATAATAATAATAAGAAATTATCTCAAATTTAAATGTATTGTAAATAATACAATTTCTTAGACTTAAAAGTTAAAATGTAGAATAAGTAATTAGAAAACATAAAATACAATAATAATTGATAAATATGGTTGATTTAATTTATAGGTAGTTTTTATGTACATGATAAAAAGTGTTGAGTTCGAGTTCAAGTTCGACTTAAAATCATAATAGGTTCGGTTCGGTTCGGTAGAAAATATGAAGGTTTGGTTCAATTTGAGTTCGAAAAAATAATTTAAAGTTCGGTTCGATTTAAAAAATCAGGGTTCGACCCATCACTTATATATATATATTAATTAATAAACAAATATTTTAATTATAGAAATAAAAAAATATATAGCCTGAAGAATTATTATATTTATAAAAACGACTGGTTTCGAATTAAAACTCAATAAAATAGCGAATTTATGGTCTTACTTTAAAAATATAATAATCTAGACTGGGGTGACCATATTTATGAAAAAAAAAACGGAACAAATATATTCTCTAAAAAAATTACCACTTTTTTTTAACTTCTATATTATATGCAATAAAAATAATTTTTATTTAGTTTAATATTTTAACAACACATTGATTTGCAATAAAATATTTTTTATTTTTATTGAATTGATGTCGATTGTTCAGAATTTTCTTCATTACATCCTTTAACATTGTATTTTTTTTTATGAACGCATTGCATTTAATAGTTTTGGTTGTGTTATCAAAAAATCATAAAAATATTTACAGGAATATTTTTTAAAATTATTTTTAAGAATTATTATTGCTTTGACAGTTGGTACGAAAAAACGATTTTTTTCGTCTGTCCATAAAATATTTGTGATTGAGAATATTCTTTCTATTGTTGCATTAGTTAATCTGTAAAGGTACAATGAACGTATATTTCCTTTTAAGCATTTAAAAAAGACAATAAAAATTATAACACTAACGACTCACAACAACTTAAATAAAAATAATCGATTCACAGTGGCTATAACATTAATAGCACAAGATCGTTATAATGTACACAAGTTATTGCACGACTATGCTCGATTTTTCTATACCTAATTTATCTATTATATCGAATATCGTTGATTATATATAGTACTGTATATTGGTAAACTATTCGTATTTAATATCGATTTCGTTATATGAGTTCGTAGTACATGTATATATACTATATAACATGTCTTATATTTTTTCTTTTACTCTCGGTTTACAATTTTTTGTAGAAGTAACGGGTATAAAACGGGACAAAAAGCGTCCCGTTCAAGGTGTGATGGGACAACGGGACATATTGATAAAAAAAGGGACAGTCCCGTTTTAAGCGGGACGTATGGTCACCTTAATTTAGACTAAGCATTTATTTATTTATTTATTTCTATATTGAAATTATTTTATTTATTTATTTATTTATGTATTCATTTACAAGTGTTAAACATCTACTAATTTTTAAATTTAGTTTTATTTCATATTATTTTATTAAATACACAAAATCGAAATCACGCGGCGTGTCACCGTTGTACATGATAATCCGATGTGCTTCTCCCGACACGTATTGCGTGAGTACACCGCGATTCAATCACGGTAAACACACATCTCTTTATCGAACGATAGAGAAGATGAGAAGGAGAGCGTCTATAATCGTCAACTGCGGAACGTGTTCGTTTACATATATTCGAGATCGTTAGTCACGAATACGTTGCATCGAACAAAGCAAATAAACTGTCACAGACCGTCGCACTGTTTTGCGTCATGTCTAGCCCGTCGTATATTATCTGCGTTTCGCGTAAACGACTGAACGGATATTTTACGAAGACCCGTTTTGGGGACGGCACCAAAAACGTTTTAAAAACGTTCCCAATCATAACCATAGTATACACATTATCCATACGTATTCTTTAGGGTCCAACAATTATATTATTAGAACTATATTCTTTTTGGTTCTCAGATGTACAACACGAACATTATCCGGGCATGCGTCGAACTCGGTGAAGCGGCCATAAGTACACTCGACATCATGACAACATCTAGTCTTACTTTACAAATATAATAAATCTCCAGCAAAGCTTTTATTTATTTATTTATTTATACATTAACGTATAGTCATTGACCTATTGTTTCTGTAGATTTTCAAACCTTCAAAAGAATTTTTTATTAATTTGTTGAAGAATGTTTTAACGTTTTTCAATGTCCGAATAAAATGCTAATACATGTATCTATATTTGACCATAGGATTTTGGGATTCAATAAAATACTTTGATAAATATATACAGTGTATCATGAAGAAAAATATTTTTATATTAGATTCTAAGTGAGAGTCTTATTATCTACAAATTTTTTGCAATGAATTCTTCGATAAAAAATAAAACCCTGATAACAGTTAACAATATTTTTTTGTTACTTAATTAAATTAAATAAAAATAACAGGAAAAAAATCACTTGAATAAAATGTTCAATAAATAGATTCGTGCTTTAAAACAAGAAGCGCTAACGGGTTTTATATATATTGTTAAAAATTCAGTAAAATTATCCTTATTGATTTTTTTTTCTAATATTTGGAATTCACTATAGGTTAGCTAATACCTAGATAATAGTTTTCATGAATATCGATGATGATAATGAAGTATTACATAAAATACTGCCCATGTCACGCAACGGTTTTGGCTTCTCAATAGTTTTTTGGATGAGCATTGATTTACCAATGATTTTAAAAAATACACAAATATAAATAACGTAATTGCTTACATTCAGAACCAGTATCTTTGTTGGTATCATTACATCCCGTCCTATACAATATTGCACTTCAGTTTGCTGATTATGTTATTTATAATTTATCACACACGTGATATAATGCATTAAATTATATTAAACACAATGATTCGATAATGTTGTGTTTTTGAAGATGGGACTACAAATTGAAATTTCAAAGTCACAAGAAAAAATATGTTAGAATAATAATAATATTAACACATGTAATCCAAATATTTTATTATAGTTTATAATTTATTTATATGAAGTTGATTTCTGCTCAATATCATAAGAAGTGATTTAATCAAAATCTTTGCTATTGTTTTTTTAAGGTATGCGTAATACTTAATTCAAAAATTTAATTGTTTTAAAGTGTTTTCAAACAAAAACATTACAACCTGTTAAATGTTGTTAAATAGTATTAAAAAATAAATAATATAAATAATTTACGTTATTCTATAAGAATTTTCAAATAAAAAATAGGTTTCCTTATTTACATTTTCTTAAATATTATATAAAATTATAAGATTTAATTTTTTTTATTAATATTATTATTCAATTTTTATTTCAATTTTAATTCGATGGATTATCAGCAGAATTTGTTTATCCAGAATGCCACACCACCCTAGTCCGCGGATAATCAAGAGTACATTGGATGTGTATTTATCTGTAAGTGCACCTTCACCATCTACGTTTATGATAAAATATGAAAATACGTGTAGATTAAAAGGACGTGTTACCAAAACGTGTACGCGTGTAACGGCCGAGAGAACGCGCTGTTAAGTGTTTTCGCGATTCTCATGCACGCGACGTTATAGTCGCCCCCACTGTATTTCGCCCAACGTGGTCTTTCGGCCTACCTAGTTCTTATCGCGGAAGCTCACATTATTATTTCATGAAAGGTGGTAGTGAGCGAATTTCATAATAATAGTACAATAATACGCGTTTAAGCTACCCATTTTACATCGAATAAAGATGATTTCGTTATCGGTATATTATTGTACTATATACTTATAACTATATTGATATTAAAATATTTTTAATATAATTCATGTTATGTATGACGTTGTTTTATATTTTTAACATTAAACATTTTTTTTTGTTATGCTTTTATAATGAAATCTGGTTCAATTATATCACTTTTTGACATTCTTTTTCCATATTGCGGGTCTATGATTTCTGGCAAAATACATTCACAGTAAAATCTATAGTGTACAATTTAATTATTTTGTTAGAAAAAATTAATGTTAATTAAAAATATAAATTATAAATTATTATTTAAATAATTTAAAAAATATCTTTACTTTTTTAATTTGTGTTCCATATTTGCATGCCAAAAGTTATGATCATATTTTATTTTCTCAATATGTATCCATTGTTTTGTAAATACTACAAAATAACAATACTGTTTTTTTGTTACATACAACTGACCGATAATTTGGTAAAAATAGTTGTGGTCTTTTTTAAATAATATTTGCCCATTTTCATTTTGAGTTAAATATGTTATCTATAAAATAATTTAATAATATATTAGTTAGTAAATATATAATATATATTATATCAGTTAGCAGTTGCTTATCGATATTATTATAATACAGTATACATTTACAAAATTAAATAGGTATAGGATTTCTTGTTTTTAAATTTTTTTTTATTTGCCATGTAAAATAAAAAAATAAAAATGTTCAAATAAACTAATGAAGTCTGGACCGCAGTTGTCAATAATATGTTTCGTATGATAATCGTGCTTTAGACGTTGAAGATAATATCTTTCTATCAATCTTATACCTATCTATATTATGACCCCGTGTGTGGTTTATAATTATCGGTAAAGCACGATTGAGCATAAAACGATTGAGCATAGACCTTTTTAGCAACACGATTGAGCATAGAATATTTTATGCGACGTTGCCACATTCACGTTGCCAAAATTTTGTAATTTATTATTTTCTCGTATTATTACACCAATTATTATGATATCTGACGCGAGCCGTGAGCTTTATCGGCTTTATAAATTTTATCGACAATGTTATCGATTAATAAATTAGTTCCGGAGCAAAACGACGTTTTAAACATTTAGCATCGGGGGAAAATATAAGATAATTAAGATACAAATCCAAAATTATTATAGAAATAATATCAGTGTTCGATCACCTGTGTAGTGTATAGTGCGTGTATACTTAGTGCGTTTTTCTATTTTTTTAAAATATGGATATAACAATTATTTTATCGGAAAGAGGCAAAGAATTGGCCCTAGTTAATTTATACAAGTATAAATTAATTGGAGAGCGAAAAAAAGACAATCTTTTGAGATGGAGGTGTACTAATAATAAATGTTCGGCAATAATGTTCTCGGGTTTCGATAAACGTAAAGTGATTGAAACTGCTGGACAACATAATCACGATAAAAATTCTATTGAGAAAATAGAAACGCAAGTTTTAAGAGAAAATTGCAAAAGAAAAGCTGAAGAATCAATTTACACACGGCCACTTAAAATTATTCGCACCGAACTTTTAAATTCTTCTCCAACATCAAATTTAAACAATCAAAATGTAAGAAATGTACGGAAAGCAATGTATGATAAACGGAAGCAGACCTATCCTAAATTACCAACTTCTTTGGATGAAACAATTCATCAATTAAGTGACTTAAAAAATGAAGAATGTTTTAAATATAAGGGTCAACAATTCATTTACATGCCGACTGATGATAATTTTGTATGTTTAACTACAGAACAAAATCTACAATTTATGACAAATAATTGTACTGAGTATTTTGGCGATGGCACATTTAATTATGCTCCAAAATATTTTATTCAATTGTACACAATACATGGATATAAAAATGGATACTACTTACCACTTGTTTACTTTTTTTTACCAAATAAAACTAGGTCTACTTATATTAAAATGTGGCAATTTTTAAATAATTTATGTTTGAAATTATGCGAAAAAAGTTTGCAAATTAACACATTTCATGTTGATTTTGAAATTGGAGCTCATCAGGCAATTACAGACGTGTTTGGAAATATTAAAATAATTGGATGTAGATTTCATTTAGGACAATCATGGTGGAAAAAAGTAAGAAACAGTTATATAATATAGTGCTTTTTTACTAAAATATAATAATTTGTTTGTAGATTGTTGGCGAACCTTCACTCAGAATAGCATACATGGACAACAGTAATGAACTAGGGAAATGGTTGAAAATGTTTTTTGGTTTGGCGTTTATTTCCCCAGAAGAAGTAGTTGATGCATTTCACGAGTTAATATCAATTTGTCCAAATGATGACGGTTTCATATTTTCTGATTACATTATACACAACTATATTGAAGATCACTGCCAGTTTCCTCCAAATATTTGGGCGGAAACTCCTTCGCTAAACCCAAGGTTTTTAACAATATTTTTTAAAACTTATTATAAAAACTTTTTTTACTAATTTGTATTGTTTTATTTAATTTTTTTTAGAACGACCAATGCAGCTGAAAGCTTTCATCGCACGTACAATTCACAGTTTTATTCACCTCACCCCCATGTTCATACAGTCGTTAGGGTATTGATCGAAACACAAGCGGAAACATCGACTAAGATCAATTCAATTCGACACAAGCCTGGAAAATTACAATCCGCAAAAGAAATAAAAAAAAATGAATTGAATATTCAAGCCTACAGCCAGTTTTTAAATCGTAAGAATACGGAATCTTTATTAATTTATTTAAGTCAAATTGGAAGCAGATACCAAGGTGTATCAATTTAATTTATTATTATCAAAAAATCTAGCTAGGTATATTATACTGTATTATAATATGAATGTGACAACTATTTATAAATATTTTGATTTTATTATTTTGATAAGTCATAAGTCATAACTATTATTATTATTTTATTATTAACAAAAATATCTATATACTGTGACAGCTATTTATACTACTATCATAAGTATTTTCATGCATATTAAATATTGACTATGAAAACATGATATTTTTTTGTCATGTTATATTTTGATTTATTATAATTATTTAAATAAATGTTTTTATACGATACAGTTCAAAATTGAAAATGGCAACGTTGCAGAGTTTTTTATGCTCAATCGTGTTGGTTTTCTTTTGTATTTCAATTTCCTTTGATACGCCGACAATTTATGCTCAATCGTGTCGCAAGAAAGGTGTTTTATGCTCAATCGTGTCGCAGCCATAATTATAATGGTTTGAGTATATTTTATGAATGAAAACAATAATATAAAAGTATTATCTTGTCGATAATAATTTTCTGTGTAATCGGCTGTGGATCGCAGAATAGGTTTAAAAATATTATCAATAAATAAACACGACATACGTCCGCACAGTTGCGTTGGAG